CTGTAGACTAAGTATTAATCCAAGCTAGACAAGGGCAACAAAACATCCACGGATGCAGAAGATTTCTCTCAAAACAGGGGGGATGAGGTTCTAAGCCTCCCCTCTGTTGATCCCCAATTTCTCACCTGATGGCCCCCCTGTGACTGTGCCTGTCTTAGGTTGTTCCTCCCTTGAGGAGTCTTACCCGTCTCTGGCTAACCAGTCATCTTCCGGGGCCATACAGGGAAATGTAAAGTTGGTAAGTGAGAGAGAAGCAATGGAATGGCATCATTTGACATACATTTTATAGGATCATTCTGGCTACTGTGTTGAGAAAAACTGAAAGATAAAAAGAAAACTAGTTAGGAGGCCATTGCAGTAACTCTGGTTAAGACATGGTGGTGACTTCACTAGGATGGAAACGGCAGGTAGCAAGAAATGGTTGGATCTTAGATATATTTTGAAGGTGGAGCCAACAAGATGTGCTGTTGAGTCAGACGGAGGATGTGGAAGAATGAGAGAGGGAGACAATGACTCCAGAGTTTCTGGCCTAAGTGACTGAAAGAAAGAATTTGGCATTGAAAGGAAGAGAACAGCAGACCTGAGGAGGAATAGCAGGAACACAGTCTGGGGATGTTCGAGTTGTCTAGGCAGTGATGTAATGGAGCCAGTGGTTCCCACAGGCCAACTGTTCAATTTTCAGGAATTATTCAAGCTCGTTGGCATCATACTGGTAGCTTTAAGTCAGGGCTTCTCCTCCCTTTGATGAACCCCAACTGCCACCCAAAAGCCTGGTGTTGAATATTTACCAGCACACCACAGCCTGTTAGATAACCAGGTGGAAGTGTAGGCACATCTATCTATCCCTCTATCTATATACATACATATATTATAAGTCTAGAATTCAGGGGAGAGGTCTAGCTGGAGATAAAACATTGGAAGGCATTGGAATATATAGGTATTTGGCATATAGATATTTAAAACCAATCTCTCTTTACAGGAGAGTGAAGATTAAGAGAGAGAGAGAATCATTTCAAGGTCTGAGCCCTGATATTTACCAGTCTGGAAGAGGGGGGGGAAACTAACAAGGAATCTGAAAAGAAGTATCCTGAGAAGTACGAGAAATGCCAGGTGAACCAAGCATCCTGAAAGGCAAGACAGTATTTCAAATACCACTGACATATGGCAAGTAAGGTGCTTGGCTGAGATGTCAGCCAAGTAAGACTGAGAGTTGAGCACTAGATGAAGTCATGCTGAGATTCTCCATGACCTGGTACAGTAATTCAAGAGTGGCATAAGATTAAAGTCAGATAAACCAGATCACTCTGTTTTTTGTTAACAGATAAGGAGTTAAAACTGTCAGTAAGCTGACACAAACCCTCTTTCAGCTCACAGCTTCCATTACCCAATTATGATGAAAGATGATGCTTTTCATACCCTGTGGCTTGAAAACTCCCCCAAAGATTTTTAAGGTAAGTACAAATAGTACATAGTTTCTGTTATTAATGCTAAACTCAATAACATCTCCATTTCTTAATATATAAAATTAATTTTGTTTTGTCAGTCAGTGGTGGTGGTTAGGCTTTTTGATAATACTCTGCAATTGAAAAAAATTGCATAGATCCACACTAAAAAGTTAATTGTATTGCTATCTCAAAGTCTTAAAATCTTAATAACTACTTCTCTGGGATACAGCCTCTACTTTTTTCTTATTAGTACATTAGTAATATGGTAAATCTTAGGTGGCTGGAGACAGTATATACTGAAGAAAAAACAGCAGAATGGGGAAAGGGTGGAGTGCCCGGCAGAGGTGAAGGCCACGGGAGGAGTGGGCAGAATCAGGGAGAACACAAATGACCTCAAATATCCAAGTCAGCATTTTCAAAAATAAGAAGCTGCAAGTTGGGAGTGTGATCCTCTGCCGGTGATTGCCAGACCTGTCTGCTAAGGAAACGGTGGGGTGCCCAGACCGGCCCTGTTTCTGGTTAGAGGACCTGGCAGCTCCACGTCCCTTCCACCTCGCCCTCCCTCCCTCTGGTCACCTGTCTTCTCTATCCAGCATGTTCACATCGTGTTTGTTGAGCTGAAGGTACGTTTTCACCTTCTCCAAATCCCCTACTGAAGCAGCTTTGTGAAGTTTCTTTAAATCCTTATCTGGAAGGTTGTAGCCCAGCAGGGCCAGAGGACTCGTACTGGCCCTGCCTCTGGGCAGGTATGAGGATGGGCTGTGGGATTCATCCTTCCTTCGCCAGAATGCGCAAAGCTTCTTCACGGTGGTGCAGGAGGCAGTCCTTCAGTCAGACCAGAATGTCCCTGAGGCTCCTAATTGCCCCACATGCCCCTCTGGCCCAACGCCTAGGCTCATGTATTCCTCTGGCTGGGTCCTCACCCCTTCCTGAGTCCCAAAGCTGGCACAGGATCAGAAGTGAGCTGGAGCAATGGGCTGGGCCACCTGCTGGGGCAACACACTGGTCCCTCAACTTGCCAGGCAATGCCCATGACTCACACCTTTCTGCTGGGATGGGGGAAGGGGGGTGGCAGACCCAGATTCTCACTTAAGATCGTAGCCTGACTACAACACTCTCCATCTTCCTACTAGATCAAGAGACTTTGGGTAGAAACCTAACAACTTTCTTAAAAACAATCCTTTCTGCTTCAAGGATAGACCTAATGGCTTGACTGCAAACTGAGATTACCCTCCTCATGGTGGGGATGGCTCTCCTCCAGTGATCTTGCCCTCCAGCCTACTTCAGCCTCTCACCAACATAGTTCACATGTTACACCCTGTCTTTAGCAATCGCTGAATCCCTCCATAATCTCAATTGCAAAGGTACTTTTGAACACCACCTCTCATATACCATCTTACTTTCTCTCCTCACAAAACTCCAAATATCTTTCCATTCATTGTGCCTACAGTCCATTAATTCTGTCACCTTCCACTGACCCTGATCAGCCCACTCTGTGTCCTCACTTAAATGACATGGTCCGTCATTAACATCGGTCCCATGCATACACTTTCAGTATATTCACCCCCATTCCTTCCTTACTTGTCTGCCTAAACCAGTCCCAGCTAAATATGTAACCCCCCTCTCAGCTTCTGTCCTGTGGCACTGAATGTGACTAAATGAGAAAACAAAACAAAACAAAGCCATACTGTTCCATCTCACTCTCAGTTCATAAAAATCAGCCTGAGGTGGATTAGTAAACTTCCCAGCAATCCTTAGATATTTCCCAGATCCATTCAGATTCACACCTTCCTTGACTAATTTATGTACAATACCTCTTCAAACTCTGCTTGGCTGATGACTTGGTTTCCTAATCCAGAGAAAAAAGAATTAATTAGGAGAAATTGTACAGGCTCCTGGGATATCTACCCACCTACCTACACCTTGCCAAAAGTAGTTTACCTTCTCTCCTGTTAACATTGGTGGTAGGTCCATGTTTCTAGCAAAGGCCATCACTTCTCTCCTGTACTGCACCCCATCCTCTGTAGCCCACCTATGGACATTGCCTCAGCAACTCCACTTCCTGCTTTCTCTTATGTCCTTAAAGTTTCCCCAAGACTAATTCTTATTATCATAAATACATGTCAGCATTTGTCCATCTTAAAAACAACCGTGACATCGTCCTCTGAAACCATTGCTCATTTCTCTCCTTCACATCAAACTCCTTAGAATTGCCCATATCATCATTTTTCTCCACAATTTTTCTTCCTCTGTTCTCACTTAAAGCAATTCCTATCATTACCCTTTTATTCCTCTCACAATCAATACTGCTTTAAGTATGATTGACTAAGACCTCCATCATGTAAAATCCAGTTGTCATTTCTTAGTTTTCATGTTAATCAAGGAGCATTTTGACACAGGTTTCAAGGACCCTTGCTTGCTTCTTGAAACACTTCACTGGGCTTCTAAGACATCACACTCCCTGATTTGATTCCTTCCTTTTTAACCAGTCCCTCTCAGTAGTTTGCTGAATTCTTCTTTATCTCCAATATTGGAGAACCCCAGGATCAATCCGTAAGTTTTTTTCCCCCAAAAATCTCTGGAATCATCCTTTGATCTTATCTTTTACACCTACATTTAAACTGCCAGAAAATTCTGTCAACTCTAACTACAAAATATCCAGAATCCATTTGATTTCTTCCCCTATCCATAGTCCAATCTGGGCAATTTCATTCGGTCCCATGGCTTTAAATACCATTTATATGCTATCAACTCCAAAACTGGGAGTCCCAGTCCATCTCCATAGGAGGCTTTAGTAGGCAGCTTCCTGGCCATGAGAGGGTTACCATGTGGCAGTACCAATCCCTATTCTACCCTTAGGGTGCTCCTAAGAGCAGAAATCTCAAAAGAACAATGACTAACACTCAAGGCATTCAAAAACTAAACCACTGGGTAGGGAAAGAAAGTAACAGAACTTCTTTGCACATTACTATAATTTCCTTTGAAAATGGTTATTTATGTCTGTGTGTTCTATAATTATATATCAGTATACTGACACATGGGCTCACATATTTAGTATTATACTTTTTATTTTTTGCTAATCCCATCAACTGGAGTTCACTATCCTGGAACTGCTGGGAGGCTTGAATTAGAAATGGGGGCATTTACATGATGGAAAGTAGCAAGAACTATAACTCACAGCTCATTTTCAATAAAAAGTATTCCTATTCTCAGCAATAAAGAAAACAGAAAATAGAAATTTAGAAAGAATAATTAACACCAACTGGTAAAGCATACAAGAAAGGTTTGTGAAGGAAAATAAAACCTCTAACTGAATGTGACAGGGAAGTTTGTGTGCTTAAAGTTTTAAGTGGTTATTTTTCACATTTGTTTATTGTTAATATTTTACCTTCCTCTCTCATCAGTTCTCCTATTTATACCATTAATGTTAATATTTGTATATAAAATTCTCATAAAAGTTTAGTAGAAAACAACTATTCTTAGGAAGTACAAGAATAGACATTTTACAAATTTAATGATCATATTTTGTTAGGATGGTTTCTTTGAATTAATTAAAAATAGGTCATTGCTTTTCTAAATTAAAGAATTTTACTATGTTCTATAAATTTTACAAAGACTAGAATTAAGTCCTAATTTGTGAACACTGAAGATTAATAATACCAAAATCACAAGATATTCCAACATCAAAATTATTTTTGTTTCCTTTTAAAATAGTTCTCCAAGAGCATTTATCTATTCTTTCATTCATCCTTCATCAAAAGTGAACTGAGCTCATCTGGGATCTTTACGCCTACCTCTCATGACCCTTCCTGCTATGAACAATTTCTGGCTGTTTCTGGTCTGTGTGAATTGAGAAAAACAAAATTAAAGTGTTAGTACTAAGTGCCAGTTAAAGGTTTCCCTCTCTTTCTTTGAAGTAAATAATTTCTGGATAATGGCAATTATACTAGATGATCCTCTCAAGTTTCATTTATAGTAATGCTTATTAAATGCTAAGTTTAAGTCATTGGAAATGCCTGCTATACATACATTTCATAAAAAAATTTCCTTTAATGAGCTTAGATTATGCTATAATGACAGTTCACTGGTTCATTTATACTCCCACCCTTGTGGATCACTATTTATACCTTCACTATCTACCTGTTTCCTACTGTGATGACCTTGTTCCATATTTCACTGAAAAGGAAAGCAACCAGAAGGGAACTTGCATGTTTGCAGGACCACAATGACCCACTTGCCCTCACCTTGTCCATCATTGTTCCTTCCTTCCATTACTGTGGATCAAATGTCCCTGCCCCTCATTAGGCTGGTCTCTCCACTTGGGAAACAGATCATCACCTCTTGACTTCTTAAGGATATTGCTCAATCAATTCTCTATTCCCTGACTCAAAATGATCCTTTTTTCCCCCCTGTATTCAATACATGCTATAATTTTCCAATGATCATTGTTCCTTCCTTCCATTACTGTGGATCAAATGTCCCTGCCCCTCATTAGGCTGGTCTCTCCACTTGGGAAACAGATCATCACCTCTTGACTTCTTAAGGATATTGCTCAATCAATTCTCTATTCCCTGACTCAAAATGATCCTTTTTTCCCCCCTGTATTCAATACATGCTATAATTTTCCAATGATAAAAACAAAAAACAAACCTGCAGCTATTGTCCATATCTACCTTTTTTTAGCACAAAATTCTCTGACAACATTGTGTGGAATGATTCTTACATTCACTCTTGAATTCACTTCTGACAGGCTTCTGCGTCCTCTTCTTCAGGGGGTTGACACCTGTTCTCCAAGACCACCCATGAGAGCCCACAAGTTTTACTAGTATGAGAAATAAGCATACAAACAGAAGGGTTATTGCTCGGCACCTCTAATGAGTTGCCCCCATCTTTTCTATTTGTACCGTCTCTTTATTGCCTCAGTTCAGGCTTTTATTCAGGCTTCTGAATGATTGCTGAGCCTGTTTTCACTACTCTCTTTTGCCCATCCTTCACACTACTGCCAGTAGTAACTTTGATTAAACTCCCCAACAGATCTACACTGACTTCAAGTCAAAGTCTAAATGCTTAGCCTGATGTGACATGGACCAGTTACCCTAAACCATGTGACACATGTCCCCAGTGTAATTCGGAGGTAACAGAGCTAGCTTGCAGTATTTTTCGGATAATGCATTGAACTCTTTGACATCTGCTCATCTTAGGGGACCAGGTTATGCCTGTCTCAGAAAAGAAATCTTTTGAACAATTCTTACATAGATGTTTCTATCAAAACATAAATTACATTGTCACTCTCCTTGCTCAAAACTCAGTTTCTTCATGGAGAAAAACTGAACATTTTAGACTCCTAAAAGCTTTTCCATCATCTGTGTTTTAAATGATTCATCATCTTTGAACCACTCTGCTCATGCCACACGAAATAGCAGTTCCTTGAAAGAACCAAATCACTTGTAACCTGAGAGCTTTCACAAATGCTGTTTTCTCTTCCTCTAATGCATTTTAGCTTCATTTTTGTACCATGAGTGTCTTCTTTCACTAGTGTATAAACGAGTACATATAAGAAGTAATCATCTTTTCCTGGGGAAGAGAATTTGGGCTTAGATGACCCCAGGAGAGATGGCAACAGTCAGTTTAAAGTAACACTTGAGCACTTTGTGTTTTGGCCCCCAAGCCAATGGCTGACAACCTCCAAATACAAATATACAATCTGCACCCCTTTCTCAATCCCCTGCCAACCAGAAAACCACAGAGGATAGTCAAAGCCAACTTTCAGGACCAAAAATTGAGTTTCAGCCAGTTTTATGGATGACCCACAGCAGAGTTGTCCACATGCATACCAGTCTGGTGACTTCACAAGTCTGAGATGCCACCTTGAACAACAGGGTGATAAAGCCTGTGCTTGTGTTCTGCCCTGTGATTCCCTTCTCATGACCAAAAAAACTTGTACATAGAACAACAAAATGAAAGCACAGAAGAGAGGGAGAACAGATGCCACCAAAGATGCCAAACAAATGAGAAACAGTAACAAAATCCAGACACCATACTGAACACAAATAGGCCGGGAACTCAACACGAAGAGAGCAGAGTTCAGACCCAACAATGACTTACTATGTCATCAAGGACTCAACAAGCCGCTAGATGCAGACACGAGAGGTCTCATGGAAACTGCATCTGACTGAAATTGGGATCTTCAGTGATAGGCAATGTAAATCACATCTTGCTGCATTGCTAAGAAAATTGTGGAAATAAATAAAACCCAAATGAGGATAAGCAGAGGCTATTCATTCAGATTCTGTAGCAAGGGAGTCAGCCATCATCACTTATTTGGCAGAGACTCAAAGGCAAGCAGGAGAATGGGAAAAGTGAATAATGAGAGAAAAAAAAGGAGTACTCAAATTTGATGAATAACTCATGACTTTGGACAGCAAATCTTTTGAGTCAAGATGTCTTAGTGGAGGTGGAGGTGCTACAGACTGATAGATGCAAGCTTCACAAGGACAAGAACTTGTTAATATTGTTCCCTAGTATATCCACAGCCTCAAGCATAGTACCTAGCATGCAGTAATGGCTTGACAAAAATGCCCCCGACAAAATTCCAAAATCTTTTTGAGTTAGTGGACAGGCAGGAAAGGAAGCAGTGATCACCAGGAGGCAGCATCAGTTCATGAAGACCAACTACGCCCAGGTCGTAGTCTCCCCCTCAACAGAGCAGAATGATCACATCAAACCATTTTACCAAATTTCACATGGATAGTCCCTGTAAACAAGATGAAGAATAGACTAAATATCTTGCAATTAAATAAATCTATAGCTGGTTGAAGGGGAGCATTATGCTGTTTAATGGATTGGTATCAACCTGATTGGAGAGCTCTGCCTTGTCAATATTCTTTTCAGTCTTACATGTGAACAGAAAGTAATATTTTTAAATCAAATTTCCCCATTACTTAAAAACAGGTAATAGCCTGAATTAAGAAAAAAGAGCCAAAAATTGGTAAAATTTAAAACGAGTAAATTTATAAAATGGGTAATAACTATGCAAGTTCAGAATGGGAATGTCCCAGTTTACATGAGGTTTCATTTTCAAATTCCATGAGTCAATGGTTGCCATAAAACAAATTTAATCTTTCTGTATATTTAAAACAATGTCAACATGTTGCACCTACCTTCCACTTAACCTGAAATCCTTTCTCAGATAAGGTAGCCAGTGGGACTCTGAAAAACTAAGGTGACAAGACCCACATTTATTAACTTTTCCACATTGGCTTTTGAATATCTAGAATGACTGTTTATTGTTATATCCCACAAATCGTATTAAATATTTTAAATGCAGTCTAATTTCATTTGTCACAACCCTGAAAATCAGGTATTATCATCCCTGCTTTAAAAGTAAGGATTCTGAGGCATAATTAGGGACTCATCCAGGCATATGACAAGTGCTAGGTCTCTTATTAATTCTACCACAGTTCCTTACTTAGCTATTTAGCAACTATTCCTTTTTGCTCCATTCCAGGTCTACTGAACCAGTAGCTCTGAATCAGTGAGATTAGGGCCAGAGAATATTTAAAGCATTTTGGGTAATTATAATGAGATGAAAATCACCAATAATGCACTTTGGGGAACTGCCTGAGATCATCTAAGTATTCTGTTCAACCAGGCTTCTGATAGATACTTGCCAGCAGAGATTTCGAGGTTATACTTTCTACTGATAGGCAGTATTATATAAGGAATACAAAGACCTGGTGGAACTAGAGCCTTGTTACTCACAATTCATATTTAGGGGACGATTTTTTCTGACATCAGGAAAATAAATACATCTTCAAGGCATTTTAGATTTCAGAGGGCATATATCCAGTTAGGAACTCTTCACTGAGAGGGAGGGGGATTATGGTACACTAGCTTATGTATAATTTATGTCAAGTATGTTGGGAAAATATGACAACTTCATTTGTACTGTTAAAATACATTTCACTTAGCAATCTGTATTCCTGAATTGACTTTTGGAAAGAGTTTGCCAACTTAAAATTTGTTAAAAATAAATAAAGCTATTTTTTAAATAGATCATTTGGTTTACAGTCCCTAATTAAATTTGCCTGTTTTATTTACCCACTTTCCATTATTGAAAATTACTAAATTGATTATAAAACCTAATACTACAAAGTCAAATATTTATGAATAGCCAATACTAGCTAACTTTCCTGTAATCCTCAGAGAGTCCTCAACATCAGAACATCAATCAATTTACTGTGGATGATAAGGCTTGATGACCAATGAAGAAAACTATCTCAACAGTTCTTTCCTTATAAGTCTTATTTCTGTCAGAGTGAAGCAAAAAACTACCATGTCTAGTAAGTAATGTTTTAAATATTAAAATATACAAATGAAATCCACCTCAAAGCACTGAAAGGATCATTCCAGAAGCACTTTTCAGAATTTAATACAATTGAGCCATCATCTCTTATTGAGATTGTATTAAGCCAAAGGTCAGCAAACTATGGCCTGTGGGCCAAATCCAGCCTGCCACCTGTTACTGTAAATGAAGTTTAGTGGAACACAGACATGACTATTCATGTATGTATTATCTATGGCTGTTTTCATGCTATAACAGAGCTCAGTAGCTGTGACAGAGACCATAAGGCCCTCAAAGCTTAAAATATTTACTATCTGCATCTTTACAAAGAAAGCTTGCCAACCCCTAAACACTTTTATCTGAAAAAAAAAGGAAAACATTAATTCAAATTTTGTTTGAATTACAAGAACGTAAATATTTTCTTATTCTCATCACAAAATTATACTCTATGACCTGCACAAGTTGAGACTTTTTGTGTACTAGCCTGGGTATATAAACACTACTTCTTTGTTCTTATGGATTCTTTAAAAAGTGTGATTGACAAATTGCACAAAGAAATTTTAGAAAACAGCATATTTATAGATGAGGAACATTATCTACATAATTGATCCATTCAAATTATCAACCAAATTGGCCTGTCCAGCTGTGAGATACCATGTTTACTTCTGTTGAAATAAGGTTACGGACCCAGGAGTCATGGCAAGCTGCTGCCAACAGGAGCAATGCATTGCCTCATATAAGTTTAGTCTATGTACTTAACATTTATAAACAACAAATAACTTTATACTAGAAATACCCAAATTCTTAAAATTAAAGGCTAAGATGCCTTTTAAGACTATTAGCTTTTTCAGATACTACACAACTTTGTTAGCATTTTTCCTTTTCTCAACCAAACACATTTTACCCATACCTGTGAAGTGCTAGGGAGCAATCACCAGGGCAGTGCGATGACTGAGCATGGTTCAGGTAATTGCAAAAGACAAGACTCACCTCCAGGGACATTCTTAAAAATCAGGGAAACACTACTAATGTATCAGTATAGTATACTTGATTTACTAGCACACGAATTTCTTTTTTCAACTAATTTTCAATAAATATTAAAATATCAGAAATACTTTTTTCTCAAAGTTCTCAAAGTAATCATTAGAATTTGCTCACTAACAGAGAAAACCAAGCTACCAAATCTATGATTTAGGCAAAAATAAATAAATTTCATGAAAATGTAGAAATATTTTAATTTACATCTCATAATACAATGAATCAATATGAAGTCAAAATCCACAATTACACTCTCATAAAATTTCCATACATCATCCTCAGAATAGTCAGTTTCTGTACAAAGATTTACAGATGTCCAATGTATGTAGTTTTCCCTCAGTGTGCTACAGAGTTTAGAGGTTCTGCTCGAATATTCCCCAAATCAAGTGCAGAATCTGTCTCCTCATCAATTTCTCCAATGACTGCACTGTAATTATTTAAAGAGAAAAAAAATCAGTTAAAACAATCTCATTTCTGGATAAAACTGAGAGGACATCATAAAAAGAATAAACTCCAGTTGATCCTTGAATAACATGGATTTGAACTGCATGGGTCCACTTATACCTGGATCATTTTTTAATATACTGGAAATTTTTTTGGAGATTTGCAACAATTTGGAAAAACATTTTCTTTTTTCCAGCTACTTTATTGTAAGAATACAGTATATAATACATATTACCATATAACATACAAAATATGTTAATCCTCTTTATGATTTACATCATTGGTAATGCTTTCCAGTCAACATGTATTCTTTTAATAGTTACATTTTTGGGGGAGTCAAAAGTCATCCACGGATTTTCAACTGTGCAGAAGGTCAAAGCCCATAACCCCCATATTGTTCAAGGGTCAACTATACTGAGGTGAAAAAAAAATTTTCATCAGGTAGTGAATTGCACATTTAAGCCACAAAATTCAAGAAATAACTTGAAAGAAACAATATTCGAGGGACCTATATTAAAGGACAGATTGCATTTAATATGATTGGATCATGAGTCTTCAAAAAGAAAAAGACACATATGATACATAGTACAAAACCCCAAAACTTCCAATTTTATTATTTCAACTTGAATCAGGGATTGCATGGGGATGAGGAGGTCACAAATCATTACTAAATAAGAATAACTTCAGTGAACTTAATCTATCAATGGTATATAATATCTATTAGTTTCCTTTTCATGATTTCTCAGTTTACTCAATTTAAATATAAGATCACCAAGTACAGTTCTATGCAAAGTTAACAGTAGCAACAGGTACTTAGGTATCTAACAAATGATTCTTTGGTGTGACTGGCTAGGGTTAAGGCCAGCAAATTTTTCCTTGATTCAACAATAACATATCATCTATAACATAATTTCATTAAAACTGTGCTACGTAATCAAGCCATGGCTCAGACTATGGGACAAGTATGAAAACATTATTTCATAAAAAACTGGTTGTTTATATTTGTTTGGTTTTAATGAGAGTAAATTCTACAGATAGAATTATAATAGACTTTCAATACAGAATTTATCCAATTTTGCTTTAAACTATACAATGCCTTCAGTTCTCTAATAAATGGAAAGTACCAAACTCTGGGAGAATCCAAGATCTCAATTCCACCCTTAAAAATTTAGTATCATAAAATCCTCATGGAAGACAGCAGAGTGCTGGTAAATGTTTTAAAACCAGCTCTCCAAAGGAAAAGGGGGAGGCTGATATGCAGTGCTTACTGACCACGTAGTGGGAGTGCAAATATTCCCACTACGGCCAATTTCAAGCTACAAAGAAGGTATCAATCAGCAGCTTGCAAAATTCTTGAAAATGTACCAATCTGCTTCTGTGAGTCAGTTGAAGCTGACTCTAGCACACCACTAGGTCTATAGCAATATTTAATTTTTTTAAAATCAAAGGTCAAAAACATGTTTTTGCTTTGTCTTTGTTTTTAAATTAAAGTAGGAGAAAGCAGAGCCCCAGTATAAACACTGTTGTTCTGGTCAGTGGACTTTGGGCCCCACCTGCTTTGCCTTCCTCTCTTCTTTATAAATTCACACCTAAAACTTACTCTATAGAATATTTTATAAACCCAATTTTGATTAAAGATCAAATAATTTATCCACATAAAGATGATTTTCCAACGATAAACAATGTAATGAATAACGTATTCCTTCATTTTGTGTCGTCCTTGTCCCCCCAAATCTCACATGCTAATATATCTTTTGCTGCCTTCTAGCCATGTTTTCATTCTATATAGTACTTACCAGAAGACTGATTCAACAATCTCCTATCCTCTATAACTTCACATGTGACTATTACAAGTAATGGTACAATTAAGTAAAATTTTAAAATCAGTTCCTCAGTCACACAAAGCAATTAAATACTTTTGAATTCACCAACTGAATACTTTTCTATGTATTCAATAGTCACACACATGGCTAGTACCCACTACAGTGGACAATGCAGACATACAATATTTCCATCATCCCCAGATGTTCTATCAGACAGTATTGATCTACACTGTTGTGAGGTTTCTTAAATTGCCACCACTAAAATGTTTCTTCTTAAGCTATCATTTTGGTGTGTCACAACTTAACTGAGGCCAGAGCATAAACATCTTAAGTGTTGTAATTACACTAAAAAGAAAAACTTAAGTAACAGATTAAGTATTTCTTTATAAATTCAGCTTGTGTTATAGAGCATGAATTATTTAAAACTGTTCACACAAGAGATTTCAAAGACATTTTCAAACCTTAGCCTTGGACCCTAGAAGTAAACTTACGTTTCTCAGAAATTAGGGGTATTTTGGAAGAACATTTTAAGAAGCCTCTCCAATGAAATACTCAGTGTAAGGCAGGGCCCCTTCTGGACCCTATACAGGCCACTTAACTATAAGAAATATGAACAAATCTCAGTAGATTTGTATTCCATATAGCAAGGCAGTAAACCTATTGTATACTTAACCTGACTTAAAAAAAGACATTTTACTTACACGTTATCACCTCTTACGATGTATAACCCTAGTACCACTTGTTCTACTCCCTGTGAAGAGCTGAACACTCGTTCGTGGCTTTCATCCAAAATCAAATTAATGGTCTGGTCAAAACCTTTCAATGTTCCCTATAAAGAAAACATTCAAGAAAAAAAGACAAATATTCTGATTTACCTGAAAGTGTAAATTCAACCACACAATTTTAGCTGCTAGATAGTCCAACAGAAGTACGTATTTCAAATACAAGTTCACTGTACATAGTATGTCTTCATAACCAACAGTATTCTTGGGCACAAAACTTACCTCTTGATTTTTTTAAGAGGGGTAAAAATACACCATACATCTGACTAGCATGCAGAGCAGTTGAGTTACAAAGGGCACCTATGTACAAGTGTATTTCCAAGGAAGTAGCATAAAAGTCCATGTAGTCCAGAAGCTAACACTGGATAGATGCATACTAAAACAAATGAAATTTAAGGGAAATATATATATATATATATACACACACACACACACACACACACACATGTTCAGACAAATATGTATATATTCATATACACATACAATGTATATATATTCTCATACATATATGAACCATACCAGCTACAGCAATGCCAAATACCACTTCATGCTACATACTAGTACTAGACCCAAACACAATGTACATATTATCTCAAAAAAATCTTTACCCTTTGATACTATAGTCATTCCCACTTCAGAGAAGAAAGAATATAGTAGATACTATAATCATTCCCACTTCAGAGAAGAAAAATTGAGGCACAGAGAGTTAAATAATCACTCAAGGTTTCATGGGTAGAAAGAAGCAGATCTAGGTCTGAACCAGGAAAGGCTAGCTTCAAAGCCAGACCACTGAACTACTACTACATTATACTCCTATACAAGCAACATCATTTCCAGGAATTCAAATCTGTCCTATAAATATATACAAACTTCAACTGGTAGTAGCAGCTAACACTTACTGAGTACTTACTATTTGACAGATTGTGCTCTACAGGCCTCAAATGTATTTATTTATTTAATATCCCCAATAATCCAATGAGGGAAATGTAAATATGACTGTTAATTATTAGAACCAGAACTCAAAGGAAATTGAGAAAGGTTTTTGGAAGAATACTGGTTTCGAATAAAGAAAGACATTGGCTAACACAATAAAGTAACACAGATGCTATGCAAGTTTCTGAAGAAACATCAACTTACGTTGATTTGATTGGTTAAATTTCTCAACTGCTGTTCAACTGTTTCATGTTTTGAAAATCAAAATATATACAATCAGAATGAAATAAAGACAAAATAACCTAGGATTTGGAAGAGAAACAAAATCTATTTACTAAAATGGTTAAAAAATAAGTTATCATATCCATACATAGTCTCTTGCTCTCATTTTACAAGTACCTTTTCAGTATATAGCTTTCCTTCTTTTATAAATTTAAATTGTTTCCAATTTATTATCTATCCCATTAACAAAAATAGGAAAATTTAAACTTGGGGTTTTCTCAACTTAAAATTGACTTGCAAATATTTGTTAATGTCAATAGGCTTTTCAAAGTGTTAAAATGAGATTAAAATACTTCAAACTGTCTTTATTTGAAAAAATACAGTGTGAGGTGCCTAAAAAAACATGGAGGAAGCAAGGCAACTGGAGTCAAATCTTTTAAACCCAAGTTTGGTTCTGCCACTTATTATCCTTGTGACTCTGGGGGAATGACTATTTCTGAGCTTGGTTTCTAACCTATAGTACAGGGGTAATTCATCACAAAGCTGAAGACTAAATGATAGAACACGTATCAAGTGTGTGGAATATGATACACTTTTAATAAATGGCAAAGTCTAACACTTTGGTAATAGTCACTTAAGGACCCACTGAGAAAAATCAGAAGGATTAAAAAGAAAAACAAAAATAACTGCACAATGGGAATGTAAGAGACTAAATTATATTAAATAATTAGAAAACAGAGAAAGCTTAGCAGCCTTAGTCTCAAAATTTTTTGAATGCAAGCAATCATATAATTATAAATGAAGAAATAATTAAGGAGCCAAAAATCCTGGGATGAAGCCCTCACATCAAGAAAATCCAAGATTTTTCTGAAATTAAAAGGGGACACTGTAACAAAAGGACAAATGAAATGAATTTAGAGTAAATCATAATTTGTCCTAGATTAGACAGAAGTCATAAAAGCTAAGAATATTCAAGGACTATTAATACCATACAAGCCTTAAATGTTCATTATTCTATATATGTAGTATCTTAATCATTAAGTTTCTAAGAGACATACACAAAATTTCAAAAAAACTGATTCATGTAGTGAATGTAGAGCACTGAATAAGGAAGGAAATAAAAAAATTAAAGAACAAAATAAACATAAAATACTAGAAGATAGCTGCTGGCTAGGCTAGGAACTTGCTGAAGGAAGAATCTACTGTTCATCCTAGTTCCTAGAAGCCTTATATGTAACTTACACTTAAAATTTATTAATGAAGAAAATATGGATCCACAGCTATTTATTAAAGAGAGTTGAATCATAAGCAAAGTGCAACACAGGTGTCCCCTGGTGCCCAGGCATTAATTAGGGATCAGAGGTTCTATATAAAAACGTACAACCAAGAAGCAGAGAATGAGTATACCAAATACTTACCACAATCATTCTCCCGTCAGAAGTAATAACAGCAACAGTTCCTGATAACTGAATCAAGGAAAGCATTTCTCAGGGAATGAAAATGAAAACTTAGAATCTGATAGGGAAATGGTTTCAGTTTCTAGGAAGAAGATGACAGAATTAGATACAGCTATTCAACATAGCCCCTACACTCACAACATAAAAACTTTTAAAGTTTCTAACTTCTTCAATTCTTTGTGATAACTGCACAATAAAAAGGGAAGAAAATAGAAAAAAGTCTCTTTCTGTATATGCTCAGTGTATCCCGTCTCAAAACAGCTGGGAGGTTTGATACTCTTTTTTACTCCGCAACCTGACTTTGAATAAGACATTCCCCCCTTTCTTAGACCTGTTTCTTCATCTCTGTAACAAAAACTGGATCCGTGATAAATTAATGTTGAATGATATTAAACGCATTAAGATACTGTCTTCCAGAACGTGGCTTCTGGAATTAAAAAAAAAAAAAAAGCTAGTCAATGTCACAAGGTACCAATATGCTTGCAACAAAAGCCTTTAGTTTTCCACTTTGGCCTCAAAGTTGGATAGGAGAGCAGTGCTGGGTTTCTGTCCTGAGACTTTAAAATGGTAACACTTGTATAATACGAGTACTTCATATGAGCTTTTAGTTATTTACCCTTCATGATGATCCATTACAACAGCAAGCATTGTTTTCATCCTATCAACATTAGACGTCAAGTGATAAATGGGGCTGAAATTCAATTTGTTCACCATCTTTAGAAGTTTTTGCCACCTCCGAACAATGAGCACAGCTTATGAATAAATAAGCACCTGTATTTACAACGTCGCCGCTAGGGCCTGTTCTTCGTTCATCCTATTCCCAAACTTGAACGTACAGGTCGTGGGGAAGTTACAAAGGTTAAGTTAACAGTCGACCAAAGACAGGGAAAAGGTCGGAAAAATCACACTGGTTTGTGTTTTCTTTAGGTTAAAAATAAAAGGCGCCTCCGGCCCGCAGCGCAGGGGAGACGGGCTCCCGTCCAGAGCGCGGGAGTGGCCGATCGCGGGTTCTGAACCCGGCACCCAACGGCCCGCCGACCCAAACCCCCGGCCTCTCCCGCACCCGCCCTCTCCAGCGCGGACGCGGATCTCGCCATGGCTCGGCTAATGCTCGCGGCGGCCCCCAGAGGATACGGTTGATGTAGTTCTCCAAGGCGGACGTCATGATGCTCGGCCCCGGCCGCCACGGGTAACACAGCAGCAGCGGCTGTAAGAGTAGCTAGAAACGCCCGCCAGGACCCGGCAGTGGCTTACGCCGATTGGCGGGAGTAAGTATCGTGAGAGTTACCGAACCGTAGCGTCCGCGAGTTAGCGGTTGAAAGAAATCGGCCCACCCTACCCGAGAGGCAAAGCGGTGACGAGTTAGTGCGCCTGCGCAGTGCGTCTCCACAGTTTTTTTGGGCGGTGACTCGGAAGCCAAGAGGAAAGAAAGTGACTGGGAGGCGGAAGAAAGGAAGGCGCTTCCTGAAGGTGGGGTAGGAAGGTGAAGATGGGAGAGTGGGTTTCCTAATGAAGTAAAAGACTGTGTGGTAAAAGTTACTAGGGGAAAATGTGGAGAAAGACAGATAAGGCGGGCCAAAACGGAGGAAGGTGTTTTCGTCACAAGTGAAGTAGAGTGCTGTCCTATGAAAAGTAGGGGCGGGGAATTGGAAACTTGTTCCTGCCAAATGGTCCGAAAGTTTGTGTTAGAAGTTAGATGGCTTAGGACAAAGTTGCACGCTGTAACCATGTGGTATACATCTGTGAGAACTCAGCAGTAAAAAACATCTGCATATTCTGCGCTTGCCTCTGAACGTGCTGCGGCGTGGAGACGCGAGGTAACTCACCGAACGGAGAGGGTGTGTGAGCCTCGCGCAGGAAACAGCCTCCTTTTCATCAGCCGCAGGTCCTTTCCTCAAAGTGAAATTAGTAAATGAAAAAGGCAGGTCTTCGTATCACTCTGGAAAGGACTGATTACAAGCAGCGGACTAGGCTTTAGTGGGCTTTCCGACCAGATTGTGTGGTGACATTGCACAAGTAACATGAACTCATCTGGGCCTCAGTTCCTTTGGTCCTGCCACAGCTATCATTTTGGATATTTCCATACACTTCTAGGAAATGACACTCTTACTTTACCCTACTGCTCTAATTTCAAAGGGCTTGAAGTTAGACAAGGTCTTTTCTCTCTCTCTCCCTCTCTCTGTATATACAGTACCAGCGGGAGCTACTTAATGCTTCTTACAAAAAGATGATTTCAGTTAACCTTGTGATTTCTTAACTGAAGAATTGTGGGTTTGAAATAATTCTTGCAATGTCAGAGGTTTTCTTCTGAAAAGTGAAGCATGTTTTCATTCAGCACATCCACGAAATTAATCTACAGAGCAGTCCCAAGTGGTTAATATTTTAAGTACTGAAACTTACTCTGACCTGTTTGAAACTGCATTTAGTCAGGAATTAGGTGGTGAGTGTCTCACTATGGGGCGTGAGGGGGGAAGGAAAGTATGTTCCATAAATGAAAAAAGGAAGAAATTGTGATTTGCAAATGTTAGACATTGAACTAAAAGAAAACCAAGCACTAATTAGTTGTAAATGAGGTATCATTAGTAAAGAGATTTAAAAAAGATAATGTACCACGTTTTTAAAATGAATATTCCCTGTAGTTTCATTTCACAGTGTGCTTATGTTTGAAAATGTTTATAAACATTATATAGTAATTTATATAGGAACTAATTTCATAGTAAACACATTACAAGTTTATGACCTTGTGTGGTTTCCATTATATTAGTATGACAGATATAGCAGATATGCATTGTTTATGGAGCATCACAAAATCTCTTTGGTTTGAATTTTTTACACACATCTTAAAACTTATATTTTCTGTAGTCCCTAGGGATCATAATGAGGAGAGGAAGCCTATGGATAAAGAAAAATCCATTTAGTAAGAAAAAACATGAGCTACATCTGCATGCAGACAATACATATGTGATTTATCTAAATTAGCCTGTAGCCTTAGGAGTACATAGGCATAAAGAGTTCAACACCTCATAAAGGAAAATTAAGTTTAAGTTTCAACAGAGGAAAATGATACATATAAATATCTGACAACTAAAAAATTAAGAAGTTATACAGTGAAACCTGCAGCTTAAATTAGAAATCTCTCAAGGTGCTACTCATTTAAATGCCTACTGTATCCCTGTTAAAAAGAGTCAGCCAAAGTATGCCAGAATGGACGTATTTTATTCCATTATTTCTGAATCTAAATCTTGAGCAGGAGTTTTTTCTTTTATATTTAGTTCAAGACTGGCCCAGTATTTTATGTATCTCCCAGCCTCCTCATGAGCCTCCTCATTAGAAATCCAACCCCACATATCTAGAACAATAACGATTTATCAAGAATGGGGCAGAAAAGAGATGGAAAAGGGTAGGAAGGGGTTCCCTAAACATCTGACCTTACTGAAGTTACTTTTTATTGGTAGAAACACATGTATATAAAATGGATCTCTCTGGAAGCATGGCTGAAGAGGATCTTAATGATACCCTTGAGAATCAGGACATAATTCATCTCCCTTTGTATGCTGTTTTCTTTCATTAACCAGAAGAATCAGACTCCTGCTAGAATTTGAGGAAACTGAATTTGCACTTTCCTGTGAATAGTTCATGGAAAACAATGACCATAATAATTGGAAAATTTAAATATCACTTTTAACCTAATATGGGAACCTTTATTTTATGTTGATTTATATTCCTAAAAGTTCCAAAAGTGTCCACCAATTAGTAATATATATTAGATAGCTCTTCCTGGGGTTCTCTAAGGTAGAAAAGGACATAAGTAAATCATAGTCTCTCCTTACAAGGTTATTCCTGAATAATTAGAGCTTTAATTATAAACACAAAATAATTAGTGCATGGAAAAGTAATAAATATCCCAAATTATAAATATAGGTAACTGATGTGGAAATAATTGTTCCTTAACACTATCAATTACAAAGTGTTTTCTATCCATTTTTTTTTCTTTTAAACTATTAAGACAGGCATTTTTAACTCCCGTTTTTTAAGAGGTGGAAGAAAATCAAATATAACTGACTTGCTTATTGAGAAGCAATATAGGATCATGATTAAGAACACTGACTTAGGAAATAGACTGTCAGGATTTGGATCCTTAGTGACTTTGACTGGATTATTTAACTTTCTTGCCTCAGTTTTCCCATCTGTGAAATGTAGAAAATGATGGTACTTACCTCACCAAATTGTTGAGGGACTAAAAGTTATTCTTATAAAGCCTGGCATATAGTAAGCACTCAAAAAATGTTAGTTATTATTGCTCAAGGACATAGACTACGTGATAGGTAATCTTTTCCTTAGTCCCAAAGCTTGTTGTACTAGGATACTTGTTCCCTGCTTTTTTGTCTGATTGGACAGATTGAGCAGTACACATTTTAAGTGTTTAAGGAAGAGGGAGATATGTATATGTTGAAGCTTGGAAGTTTTTATGAAAAAGGTAAGACTTAAATTGGGGCTTGAGAAAAAGTACAAATGTACTTTAGGAATATTAATCTGATATTAATTATTTAGTGGAGCTAGGAACTAAGGATAAGGCTAGCAGGAATCCAGGTGTGAGTTTCTGATTTGAAGCAGTAAGAATGGAAAAGCAGAAGAAATGTGATTTAAATATAGTGGTTAAGAAAGACAGTGGGGGAGACAGCAAATCATAGGACAGTGACAGTAGTTGGTGAATTGTAAGGATGGCATGGGTAGGAAGAACCAGGAAAAGCCAAGACTGCTTGATAAAAGTAGATGGAGCCAATCTGTAGAACTGTATTAACATGATACATGTTGCTCTCCAGCCAGTATTTAAGCCACAGAACATACTAGTCAGAATGGTATAAAATTTACCTTAAATGTCTGGAGAACCAGTCTTATCTCAGGAGACCCACTGTTTCCATTTATAAAGGGTATTAATGCATATTAATAAAATGCTTATGTATACTTTTATGCATTCTTTACATTATTTTTATTTTGGAAACAGTAATACAAACATTCAGCCACAGAATGATACATACATTCCTGAAAATACGTTCAAATAAATCGCTCACATAGAATAACATAACTTAAGGAAAAAACAGATCTGGGAAAGACCACCTAAAACCTGAAGAACTGAACTAGAGCAATGGCTCTCCACTGAGATCACCTAGGGACCTTTGAAAACTACAGATGCCCTGGCTCTTGCCTCCAGACATTTTGAATTATTCGGTTTGCAGGAAGTCGTATCAGAATTCTGAAAGTTCTCTACATGAAGCAAAATATGGGGACCACCGAATGGCAGCATTAAATGAGACAATAATACTCCAAATGAAAACAGCATATTTAAAAGGACATGTGAAATTCCTAATAAATACAAACTATAGTAACTTACAAAGCCTTACCTTTTAAAAATGTTGAAGGTAGCCTGAAAAATGACAGTTTAATGGAGAGTTGACACTGCCGAGTGATGGAAACAAGGGCAGGAGAATATCAAAATCAGAAGTTGCAGGGAGAGAAGTAGTTGCAAACTTTGCACAAAATGTAGAGATACCAGAAATAGATGACTCTGACTTATTGTCTAAGAACTGCAAAATAAGCTGTAGTAAAGTGAAGCACATGGCTGAGCTACGCCGAAGAAGAACGGGTGCCACACAATGAAAGGATGTCATTTGTGTACTATATTCCTCCAGATCTGGTGTGATTGTGCAGTAAACTGAGTTACCTTACATTCAGCTATTCTTACTTGGTAGCCCAAGACATTAAAGTGCTAGGAAAAATTAAGTATGAACCAACCTGCTTGCTAGTTAGGTACTCTAACATTATATCCCTATTTAACATTCACATGTGAGCTGATTTTGTATTACACAAAAGCAGTGCTCTAGCAGAAGAGACTTAATATTCCACTGAGAATCAGGACTTTAAATATGCTTAATCTGTGCCTATTTACTTACCTCCTCCTGTAGTTCATTCTCCCTTTCAGCACTAGGTAATTTTTTGGGTAGGCAGCTCTTATACCTCTGAGCTTGCACCAAGAGAGTACATGAATTCATGCAACTTGGGACAGCTTGATTTAGATAGCAGGAAAATGTGTGAATAATCCAAATGGAGTCCCAAGATCTGAGCCTTATCAGTATCTTTTTTTTTTAATTACCATCTGTGTATTATCACTACTGCAAAGCAGATTAAGGAATATTATTTTAATTTGAGTGCATTTACTTCTGTTATTTTTGCTGGGCTTTTAAAGATTAGTGTCTTTAGTGGGCTGAATTGCAATACAGGTAAAATTATCCTGTCCTTTTCATTGTGATTTTGGCACAATAAAATTGGAAATTAATATTCATGGCAGAAATAACTGAGGTCTCTAGTATCTTCAACTTGAAATCATTCCTGAATGGTATAACCCACATTGAATAATAGGTTGACTTAGACCTGTTTCAGACATATTGCAAGAGATATCAAAGCTAATTTAT